ATCAATCAGATGCTTGAGAGTGTAAGATGACTCCAATCTCAGCCACACCTGATGGCAATGATGAAAAGATCTTGCCCTTGAACCGTCCAGTTCAGCCAATCCTCAGAATTATGATATTTAACTGCTGTTTGATGCCTAAGAGTTTGACATTTGGTTTTTTTGTGATAAAGAACCTAAACTAGATTCCTAATCCTATCATATATGCAAAAGAATTAGCCCAACTATACTTAGCCTTGCATACTCAAAATGGAAAGCTAGTACCCACACAAAATTCGAAGAGCCTCAATTCATGTGGAAGCATTTATTGTCAACTGATTTTATTGCATAAGGTGTTCCTGATGTCCTGAGAGTTCTCTGTTAGTCTTCAATGCAGAAACAATTCTACATATTTATTTGCGTAGATCAGCAAACCTCTACTTACTTACAATGCTATTAAGTGTTAAGTGTTATTAAGACTACTTCCATAGTTTTGAAATAAGAGAGAAAGTAACTTGTTCAAAAGGTAAAAACACAATTTTGCACTAGAAGAGATACACGATATAGCTAGTCCAAGGTTCTGTCTATAACAAGCTGTACAAAAAGGCAGCTAGAGAATAAATTTGGAAATTGTCTCCAAGGATTACAAAATATTGAATTCTTTCTACTGTAACATTCTTTCCCCACACAAATGGTTTAAAAAATGGACTTAATTGAAATCATAAATATGTTAATTTATTAGCACTGGTTTTTTAAATCTCTGGCAAAGGCAAGTTATTTAAAAATTCAAGCACACTCCTAGTATGATCTTCTACTTTACTGGTGAATATAATAAATATATAAATTGTATAAATTAAAAATATTTTACTGGCACAACAAATTCACAATATTAAATTATTACGATTACTATTGAAGAGATTTAATACTAAATGATTTATCAATAGATCATTTACCAGTTTGATTCTGGCAAGGAGTTAAAGTAAAATTTGCTTGGAAGAGAGGTTGCAATAAGGTGATTTGTTGTATAAATCAAGGCTTTTCTAGAAAAGATGGTAGGTTTGTGCTAAGTGACTTATAACCCACCAGGGAATCCTAAGAATTAACTGGCAAGCATGGGAACTAAATTCATAATCTGCTCATAAACACTATTTTAACTCCCTGAGCTACCCAATGAAACTTCCTGAAAGAACAAGGACTTTATGGTACTCTGGTTTTAATGGATGTTCATGAATTGTATAGCATGGTAAAAATATATAAAATGAAGCAGAATTGATGGATAGTTGCTTCTATCATAGCTCAATGACTGGAACATCAAAAGAGACTTATGGAGACTAAGTAGTGCCTTTAAATAATAAGCACTGTATGGAATAAAATTGTCACTAAAAGTATCTTAAGCTGAGTAAAGTGCTACAATGATGGTTACTTGTCTGATATTTTAGTGATAGCTATTTTTATTGGAAAAGCCAAGAGAATAGAGCATAAAACTATAAAAAGACTCAAAAACTAAGATTTAAATTGTCTTTTCTCTACAGTCTCCTTTATCTTTGTCTTTAACAAGTAAAGAAAGAAAATTATGCTGATAAATGTAAAGTTCTGTTTAGGAGTTAATATGGATATATGTCCATATTACCAAATTATTAAGTATAGTTTTACTTTTTGCTTCCCAATTGCAAAAAAATTCAAAGTTAGGTTAAGGGCCGATTAACATCTTATAGAAGACTCATCCATTCTCCCAAGGAAAGAGCTCTGGTTAAAGGCAGCCCCAAGGAGTAGGAATATTTTTGCATAAATGAGGGGGAAATGGAAAGATTAAAATACCCAAATTAATTTTGGAGCAGTTGAGCAGACTACTTGAATATGAAGCACTAGGGGTTAAGAATTAGTGCTGGGCCCTCGATGGTGGCAAAACAAGTTAAAGTGCAGCACTAGAAGCTAACTGCAGCTGCTTTGGCAGCTCAATTCCTGGCCAGGGAGGTGACCCACATGGAGCAGCAGACCTCTCCTGCCTTGCCTGCTGTGCCCCTCAGCAGTGTACGTCATCGATCTGCCTGTTCTGCTCCCCACTCTGTCTCTGGTGAATCCTCTCACCCCCTGCACCTCTGGTCTGTACCCCACTTCTGTATGCATAAATAAATAAATCTTAAAAAAAATTATTGCTACAATAAAGAGTGCTGTCAAAATGATATAACTAAATAATACATGATATTAAAATATATAGGCCTTTGCTAAAATACACAGTGACTGAACAAGAGAAAAGATAATCATCTATTACAGTTTCAGATACCAGAGGAAAAATTGGAAGGAGCATGTTGCTTGAGAAGTCAACAGAAAAATCAGGGGAGCGGGATATAGCTTCTTAGGAAACATTTTAAAGGAATCATATTGAGCTTACAGCAATGGACCCTTTTTACTAAAGTCCTGGAAGGGGTGAGACTGCTTGAGTGGGGTTCAGATAAACATACTGAGACCACATTAGGTAAAAACCTGGGTTTGCCTAGAAATACTAAATAATTCAAGAACCTGAACTAAAAGGGACCCAGCAAACTTGGAGATGAAACCAGCAAACCTGGAGATGAAAAGGGCAGATCAGGAAGAGTCTGACCAAACATAAAGCTGAATTCAACTGTACTGATTACTAAACAAAGATCTTGAAATGCATTTATGAGTTTACACCCTGCTGTTCTTTCAAACTTTAGGAAAAATTAAGACTTTTTAATATGACATGATACAACAAAAGCAACTTTCTTTCAATCTGGAGGCTAACCACTGGAATCCAGTTCTGATTCTACTACCTACAGTTTCATCATTTTGTGTGGGGAGAATCACAAAACCTGTATAAAAGGCAGTAGTATTCTCTGGTTGGTCAAAATAAAAAAATATTCTGTAACTATATGCCAAAGATTTGCACTATTACAGGACAACTGTGTATAGATGCTGAAGAGGGAACCCATTACCTCAGAATTCTGTGTGTTTGGGGTGCCCAGGAGCAGGGTAGAGCTTAGAAGATGTGCCCAGTGTGGCAAAGGAAGGAAGGGATATTCACCAAGGCAGTCACTATAGCCAAGGCATGAGCAAACCCCAGGCAGTGGAAGAACCTCTGTTCACTCTGCCTCACCCTGAGGAGCACTGTTAAGCACAGAGATGAGGGAGAACACAAAGAAAGATGGAGGCAAAGGGCAGCATGAGTACTCACAGCCAGAAGGACTACTGTTTTAGGCTGTCTGAAGTTGCCAGACTAGTGTACGGACAATATGTGAAACAATAAAGATCAGATCCAGCTAGTCAGAGTGTGTTCTGGGACGTACAACAGCAGCAATGCAGTATGAGTTGCAACCGAGTCACTGGTTCTACATTCCACTCCCCAGTTCTAAATAGAGAAAAATATTACCCTCCCCTCCATGCCCTGACATCCCTGCATCCTCAGTGCCATGGGTTCAGTTCTGCTGCAGTTTCAAAATAGACCCTTTTCCAGAGGTAACACATCCAGAACAGGTTTGTGGAGCACTGTGCTCAGAAACATGTAAAGACTAATGTTTAAAGTTCTTTTGGGGAAATCAAAGTGTCATATCATGGAAAATTAGAAGATGAATGTTAAATGTATAAAACCCATCATCCAAATCTAAACGGCAAACTTCATTTCCCATCCATCTGAATAAAATTGGCCTGCTACAATTAAGATTAATTTTGCATGCAAAAGGTAGCAAAGAACATCACATAATGATCTTCCAAGTCTTGAAATAAAATCCTTAATGATTCAATTTAAAGATTGGCATCTCAGTTACAGGAAAACAAATTGGAGTTTTTGATTTTTCACTAGGGATCTTCCAACACACTCATTTTCCAGGGCTAATGGTAAATTTTACTCAAGATTCTTGCCAAGTTTACTACAGTTCTATAAACAGGAAAACACCAACTCTAAATATTTTATACAGAAGTAATGTCAGTTAAAGCACATTGTCACATTTAAGATGATTACTTAAAAGCACACCTAATTATAATAAATACTTTAAAGGTAGAAATTTTAAAATCACCTTATCTAATCAGTCATTTTCTTATCATGTGACTGATAGGCAGAATATTAATGTTAATTTGAATGATAGTTGAAATATAGTAATATATTCCTGTTTTCAGTATTTGCCAAAATTTACTGTTTCAACTATACTTTCCAACAAATTATTTCTCTCACTGATTTCTTCACCATTGCTAGTATTTGTTCTATCTTATATGATTCATAAAACTTGTAGAAATATATTACTTTCCTGGAGCTCGTATTCAAGTAGTTAGTTATACCATGTATTCAAAATTTTATATGGCATCTTCATAACAACTCTGTATGAAAGAAACTATTACTATTTTCACTTTACAGTCAGGGAAACTAAGGCATAGAGACATCACACAGCTAGTAATCAACTGTTTTCAGTTACTAAATGCGCTACATCAGCTCATTTTCTGTGTGTGTGATTAGTACTATATATGTGATTAGTACTTCAGTCATCACTTATTGCTGTTTACTCAAATCCACTACACCACAGATCAAGAAGCTGATCACACCTCTTAAAGAAAACAGCAATGCTAAGTTTTACATGATGGGTATGAGAGTCTATGATTAGGATAAAAATCAGCTCTGTAAGACGGAAGGGAATTTTTCAACCCATGCAAATACAATTGGTGTTTGACAATGTTAAGGTACTTGATCTTTTAAATTGCATTATTACAAGGAAGAGAAGAAAAATGTCTTGGCTGAGCAGAAAGGCCACGCCTTGGATTGCTCAGGTTGCTATGCAGACACTAACACTAGGAACACTGGAAAAGACAGCCTGATCCTCTCCTGCATCTGCTTATGGGCACTGAGAACAGACTCTTGCTTTAATTTTAAGTGAATTTCATCTACATCATAAATTGAAAGAAAAAAGACAGATGAAAATTAACACCAATCTAATACTTTGATTTTTTAATTCATTTTTATTCATATTCAAATTCCACACATTTGAATTAAAAAAAAAACTCAGAAATCAGCAAATTACCTTGAATGTAGCTCTGTGCTGCCATTATTATATTTGCTTCCTCTTTCCCAGACACCATAATCAGGGACACGGTAAACTCTTTCAACACAAAATACAAGGTTTTGAATAAAAGAGACCTAAAAGAAAAGAAATGAAGCATAAGGACACATAGAATAACAGGATCTCATGGCACTAATAACAACAATTAGGTACACTTAGAAATCCAAATACATACTTGTTTAACAATACTTTTTAACAACATTATTAGGTGACAATTAATTCTGTTATAATATAAAGTTTTCTAATATAAAATTAAAATCTAATACAACCACACAGTATAGAAATAAGAATTAAATAATCTCAATGCTCCAACTATAATTCTTTAATAACTCACTATTACTGTTTATAAGAACTATGCATCTTAAGAATTAAGAAAAAACATAAAGCCCTGTTTTAAATTACATCATATTTGGCAACTAAAATGTCCATATAAAATGTTAAATAAGTCTAAAATGTGGCAGATAAAAAGGTATATCTCAGTTCTACATTGAGTCAGTCCCATGCTGACCCAAACTAAAGCCTATTACTCCCATAAGCTAATGTCCTCCGTGCCTTCCACAGGTTCCCCGACATATAAAGTCAAGGGAGCAAAGATAGTTTTTTCAAGATATGGTGCTAGACCAAATGGACATTCACACACAGACAAAAAAAAGTAAATCTAGGCCCTCCCTGGTGGCGCAGCGGGTTGAAGCGCAGCACTGAGAATCTAAAGCCGCTTCCTCATGAGTTCAATTCCCGCCTGCCCCGGAGGTGACAACATGGCGTGGCAGACATCTCCTGACCCGCCCGCTGCTCCCCTCAGCAGTGTACTTCGTCAATCTGCCTGTTCTGCACTCCACTCTGTCTCTGGTGAATTCTCTCACCCTCCACATCTCTGGCCTGTATCCCAGTTCTGTATGCACAAATAAAATAAAATCTTTTAAAAAAAAAAAAAAAAGAACACAAAATGGGTTATAGACTTAAATGGAAGAACAAAATTGTAAATTCTACAAGGTAACGAGAAAATCTAAATGACCTTGGGTATGATGATACCTTTTTAGCCATAAAACCAAAGAAGTTATTCATTAAAGAAAAAATTTGATAAATTGGATTTCATTACAATTAAAAACATCTATTCATGAATTACAATGTCAAGAAAATTAAAAGACAAGCCACGAGAGAAAATATTTGCGGAAGGTGTATTTTATAAAGCACCATTATCCAAAACATATAAAGAACACTTAAAAATCAGTAACAAGAACATAATCAACCCAATTTAAAAATGGATCAATGACCTTAACAAACACTTAACAAAAGGAGATGTGCATATGAAAATATATTTTATATGTCATCAGGGAAGAACAAATTTAAAAAACAATCTGCTTTGATACCACTGCAGAGCAATTAGAATGGCCAAAATCTGGCAACAACAAATACTGTCGTAACAGGAAAGCTTTTACAGTGCTGGTAGGAATTCAACTTTGGAGTAGCATGGCAGTTTCTTACAAAACTAAACATGCTGTAACACATCGTCACATTCAATTTTCTGAACTCTGTAACTGAAAGACTTAAAATATACAGAAAGTGCATTTAGATGTTTCTAGCTTTAGTCACACCTACCAAAACTGGGAAGCAACCAAGATGTCCTCGGTGGGTGAATGGATAAATTATGTCCATCCAGTGAAATGTTATTTAGTGCTAACAGGAAATTAGCTATCACATCATGAAAAATCGAGGAAGGATCTTAAATACATATTAGCAAAAGAAACCAATGTGAAAAGGCTGTATGTTTTAAGATACTAATGATATATGACATATGGAAAAATAAAACATGGAGACAGCAAAGATGAATGATGCCGGGCTGGGGAGAAGAGGCAGAGCGCAGAGAGTTTTCAGGGCAGGGGAAATATTCTGTGCTGCTATTAGGATGAATATACTGTACTTAAGAGTGAACACCAAGATAAACTGCTGCCTTTGGGTGGCTATGTCACTGTAGGTTCATCCTTGTAAGTAGATATAGCCTTCTGTTGGTTAATGTTGCTATGGGAAGATATTATTGGGGAGAGGGGGGTTGAGGGTCTATTGGAACTCTCTCTGTAATGTCCTATTTTTTTTATTATTACATAACAGTTTATTTTTACATCATTTTGTACATTTTTTTTCCATCTCAATTGTAATCCCCGCGGGTTTCCCATCACCATGTCACCCTTGTGCCATCACCATAATCCCGTGCACTTCCCTCCCCACCCCCCCATGTGTAATGTCCTACTTTTATAAACCAAAAACTGTCCTAGAAATAAAGTATAACAAAAGCATTTGATTTTTTTCATTTATGCTTCTACATATGTTAAGTTCTCTGAGGGAAGGGCCTTTCACTGCTTTATCCCTAAGAACTGTGCCTGAGGTATAGCAGATGTTCAATAAACATTTTAACTTGATTGTGTATCCTCATCACTACAGATCTACAGTTGTACAGTTTACCAAATTCTACATTTGCACAAATCCTATAACATGCCTATCATCCATTCTTATTTCTTCTTGAAAGTTTCCATTCCCTACGTTGACACTCATCCTTCCTCACTTGTCTCCTCTTCCTTCACCCTAAAGAGCATTCTTCAGAGTTCTGTCTCATTTTCTGTATCACACACACTTTTTGCCTCCAGGAAGCTCATTCATTATCCTGATTTCAACAACAGACAGTGGTATAAAAGAAAGCACACACAGAAAAACACAAAGGCAAGAACACTGTGTATGAAAGATCTGATACTGCTCTCTACTCTACTGGGAACTTGCTGTACGATACTATTAACTATACAGCTATGTGACACACGAGGCCCTGATCTCCACAAAGCAGAGTAAGGTATTGCTCATGTATTTTTACAATTCTGTGAGTTGAGCTCTGAATAATTATAACTCTATGAAACATTTTCAAATGGATTTGCCAGTATGTTCTACCCTCTTCTACTGTTGGTAAGCAACTCTCACTTCTTTTTTACTCCATAAAACGACTGGTTTTCCAAGTTCTTGGTCTAGAACTATGGATATAACCTTTGGTTACTGTGTGTCCTTTGTTCTTTCCCCCACCCCCAATAAATCTGACACCCAAATTTTCTTTTTATTTCTCATTATTTCTTTGGTTCAAAGGGGTGCTGTCAATCTTGACACAATATAACAAGTCTCATGTCTGGCAATGAAATCTCCATATTCTTCCCATTCCAGTCTGTGTGCCTCTACAAGGTGCAACACAAACCACAGGTTCCGGTGGGCTGGTCAGGTTCAGTTTTGCTCATTTCCTACTGAAACACACCTGTGAATCTTTCTTCAGCCCCAGTTCAAACCTTCCTTCAATGGTGAGGCCTGTAACTTCTCTCTCTTAATTAAAATTGCACATCAAACCAAGACTATGGACTGAAATTTTCTTTGTTCATGTGTTCTTTTTTCCCCCAAATCTAATTAGCATACAGGTCTACCATAGCTTATTTGCAATATAAAATTCCACACTCTGAAACCAATTGTTTCATTCTTAACGCATTTGTCAGGAAACCCCAGAATTGACATGAAGTAATCTGCCTTACTTACCCACTTTGTGTGAATATGCATATGTCTCATGACAAAAATAGAAGTATATTGTTAATGGGATCGGCCTTAAACCATGATGGGAATTTTCCATAAATAAGGTACACAGTAGTTCTTTTTTTTTTTTAAGGTTTTACTTGTACATACAGAACTGGGGTACATGCCAGAGGCTCAGGGGTGGTGAGAGGCTTCACCAGAGACACAGTGGGGAGCAGAACAGGCAGACTGACGAAGTACACTGCTGAGGGGAGCAGCGGTCTGCCACGCCATGTGGTCCTGGGCAGGCGGGGATCAAACTCATGCGGAAGTGGCTTTAGCTTCTCAGAGCAGTGCTTTAACCTGCTGCACCACCAGGGAGGGCTGCACAGTAGCTCTTTTTTAAAATAAAGATTCTGATACCTAAAACATATTTGCCCCCAAAGTTTTATTCAGATAAGGAATTATGGATCTATATAAAGTCTCTGAGCTCAGAAATAGTTATTTCGTACATTTTGCACACAAGCAATACAGTGCTTTCGTATGGAGGGAGTACTTAGGGGACTGTGAGATTGTTAGAATATAAAATAAAAATCACTATCTCCAAGTTCAGGGCATTCTGTGTACTAACTTCAATTCTGACTCTAGTCCATGTACCCAATGTTGCTGTTTGCTCCATTTTCACACCAATTTCTAGTTTATGTGGCCTTGCTTTGAAAGTAGGCATCTTTGAAAGTTACATTTTTGAAAACTGACTCTCTCCTTCTCTACTTCCCTCTCCTTCTTTCTTTCTCTCTCTACCCTTTATACTGCTAAAAGCATTCACTACAATAAATCAGTGTGAACCAGAATTTATAGTTTTTCCTCAAATTTAAGGTTGACTATATTAAAAAACCTCTATGATAGGACAATTTGTGAATAACAAAGTTCACATATAATGATGAAATAAGGTAAGGATTGATATTACAAATGATCCAATAAAAATTCATTAAAATATCTTAAATAACATTCATAAGTAAGACAATTCAAACCAAACACCAAGTACAAAGCTTAAATTATGCTTGAATTTAGACATGTTGAATTAGTAATAATGGCAAGCTGGAACTGATGTCTACTTGCTGCTCTTTTCCTATTGAAATGTTTCAGGCTCTCATTTGAAAATGCAACTTTCTTCGCTGTTTCAAAGGACATTTATAAATTAATTTTGTTTAAATGAGTTAAGTGAATATTGAAAGCTTTTTCCCCCTGCATCTTGTATTCATGCAGAATTCAAAGGCTTTTATAATTACATACCCTTTAATGTGACTAAGCCATAAGTCAGCAGTTGCTTAGGAGAGCAAAAGTAGCCTTAACCCACTTCATACACACCTTCCCTGACATTCAAGGTCAAGAAGTTTTAGCCCTGGCACAATACCTGCCTGCCAGGCACACAATATCCAACTGCCTGCAGCGACCACCCGTTAGGGTGAGGCCTGGCTGTGAAGGTGGTTTCCACCTGCTTCTCTTTCTCTCTTGCAGTACTTTCAACATAAAAATCTCCATTCTT